TCAATTTCAGGAAGTTGTCTACGTTCAAAGTCCATGTTCAAAGTCTATGTTTGAATGGGCCCGCCCGGGCATGACATGTGTACAGACAAGTTAAAAAACATGTAGGAAGCATAACACATGACTGAAGAAGGTGGGGTCCATGGTAGTCAAAGAGTCAAGTAGAGTGCACCACGAGTTGTCACTTTTTGTGTGGTTGGTTATTACATGTTCGGCCAGAGTTGGTTTGTCCAGATCAGCTGTATCGCACAGAGGACATTTGCTACGTCGTGTAAGTGCGCATGCGCGGTTTCTTACATTTTCACATTTTCACACACGCTGCCTCGCGATAATTATGCGCCGCTCGATCTAGCCAGCCAGAGAATTCTCCTCCATTCGACAGCATGCGATGCAACCTTTGGTGAATGACCGAGGCTGTACCTCTTCCCAATCTTCATGGTTCGAAGGTGAAACTTGCAAATAAGCTAGGATTGCTCGTGCAGATACTGCTGCATGGACCACGACTCCTGCTCACCGTTTTGCCAATGTACAGTACGCGACAGGTAGATCTGTCTTGCTTCACAAAAGGAAAGCTGTGCGCTGACGGAAGGTTATGCAGCCCGAACAATCCCAAGTTGGGTCGCTCCCGTGTGTGAAAATGTGTAAAAGTTTGGAAATAGTTTCGGAGCGCGTACAAATCCGCGCATGCGCACTTACAATACGTACGAACGATATTCCGCTCGACTCCCGCTCGCCAATAAAGGAAATCGCGCGCGCCGTTGGACGATGCGCGCTGTCGATCGCCGCGGCGCCGTTACCCGTTAGCTCACGCGCGCGTGACGTAGCCCGCCCGGGAACCCACCCCCGGCCATAAAATTTGTGCGTGGGTAAAATGACCAGACCCTTTTCCTCTTTAGAGGGGGTACAAGACTAAGGCCTTCCCCCCTGGCCTTCCCCCCCTGGCCTTCCCCCTGGCCTTCCCCCTGGCCTTCCCCGGAGACCGCTCGCGCACAATATTATTCGCGCACGCTCACGCGTACTATACTATACTATACACCGCGTTGAACGGGGAAGGCCTGGGTTCCGAGGCTACGTACTCTGAGTCAAGTCAGCCTGGTCATCACAGTATAGACGCCGAAGAAAACTACATCCAGAATGGCTAACAGTGTGATTGCCAGTGAGCGTCGGCGGTGATAATGTGTGCGACTAATACGTAATTATCCCACAGCCTCTAATACTGACGCAGAGCTCACACAAGATGATGCACCGGATATAGTGGAAGAGCTGCATGAGGCTCAGAACCATACCTTATACCTTGGTTTTATGTTGAAGTTGAACATTTCTGAGGTGGAGGCCATTCATGCACGGTACCCCGAACCAAAAGAGAGGCTTCTCCACATTATCGTGGCATTTTTGAGACAGACAAAAACCAAACCTACATGGAAGGTCATTGTGGATGCTCTCAAAACCCGTTTTGTCAACCTACAGAAACTGGCTGAGAAACTTGAAGCAGTTCATCTCCCTAAGACTACACGTAAAATAATATGTCATCCTTAGCTCCGGCTCCGAATAATAATGCTTTTCTTAGGTCCAACATCAGCAGACAACACGTCTACCAGTGAAATTAAGTCAGAGCCATCTACAGACAAGGCATGTGAAGAGGTAAAATCTGATGAGACCCGGCCCATTAAGCAGGTATGAACGAAAGGGTAGGTGTGCTGTGCCAATGCTTTGGCATCCAAAACATTTTGTTGCAGACATGGAAAAGAGACCTGCAATCTCATGTAAAAGAGCTACAACAGCAGCTGCAGTCCAGAAACAAGGTTAGTTTTTTAATGTTGCTTGATGGGCGTGGTAATATTTCCTATACCCAAGTTTCAGTGAAAAAGATTGCTTAAAAGTATTGCTATTTTGGCCAGCAACAATCAAACTCGCAGTATCACATGGCAGTACATTTGTTGAAGAGTGTTTATACCGCTAGGCCAATTAGTGAGTTGGGTATTTGAGAGCTCTTTTTATCACAAAATGCTGCATGTGTCAGTCTTGAAAAACAAACAAAACGGCAGACTGGCCGTGGTAAACAAAATGCGCTCTAACTCCTTTAGGTAAGCAGTTTTAGACAAAACGGCTTCTTTGTTTTGTTTTCCTCATCATACTCAATAATCTAGTGTCCTTTGTTGTGTGTGTCATAGTGCGAGATGCGAGATTAAGAAGTGTGGACAGGCGGACGGACGTACAAAAACAATTACCATAAATCTCGCTGCGCATGCGTCCCGAGGATTAAACATCTATGCTCAAAGGGTTTCAATTATACAGGAGATTGCAAGCCTCCAGTCTCATTGTCAGGAGCTAGAGTCCAGAAGCCAAGACTCTAGCACTTCTTCCAGTGATGGTGAAGTAAAGTCCAAGGAGAAGGGATGTAAAGAGGTATGGTGTAATGAGGCCCTGGAAGCCTTAACTCTAGTACATTAGCAGCCTGAAACCGCACTGTGAATACCGCTGACAGTGTTATTTCCTGTGCATTGTGAACATTCAGCAATTAATTCCTGGCTACAAATTGGTTGACCCATGGGTATACCGAGAATTCCCACTAAAGCCATGGGTCAAATCTGATTAGACCCAGCCACAGTAGCTATTGTCAAGGCACCCAATTTTCTGTGCAAGAGCTAATGACATATACCATAATTATTCCCAGTGAGTGGCCATATATAGTAGTTTGATCGAAGGTTAATTGCTGACTGTAGTTCTCATCTGAACAAGAATAAGCGTTGGTTTTCTAGCAAAGGATACGGAGTGTTATGAGATTTATAGGAATATGAGAGAAATTTGAAGTGTGATAGTAACCTGGGGGCAACAGTATGATGGAAGGGATCAAAATTGGTGTTTTGAATGTGCCAATACTCATGCACTACAGCTGTATGCCGGCTGTTGTGTGTAGTCAGGAAGTAGCTGTGTTATTATCCGGTCATATTTGGTAGACCCACAATATATAGTAAGTTTATACAACAGCATATTGCAGATTCCAGTCTCGTTTGCATAAGAGAGAACAATAGTTCAGGAGACTCTATTTGATTTTGGGCCCCAAAACTATAATATTTCTATGTCTATCTAGGCTGGAGACGGTGCCCTAACTGAGGCTCAACAGCAACTGAAGCGGAAAGTAACTTAAATTTATACATCCCAGTTCCTTTTATTTTAATAACAACAACTGCAGGAGGATCAGTTACAATTGTGTGAAATAGAGAATAAAGTCATCAAAGAACTGCTATCAAAAAAGGAAAGAGAGTTAGCTGAGGCAGTCCATCAACTGGAGCAAAAGGTTAAGAGCGTTATTAACTTTAATGATGAATGCATGGAGCATTGTTTGACTCAAGTCCCTTTCATAGGAAGATCAGCTGCTGAGTAAGAACAGTGAGCTGTTACGGGCAAATGAGACCCTCAGGGAGGAGCGCCAGCAGATCCAGGAGATGAAACAGAAAGTTAGTTGAATGTATGGCGAGTTTTTTTTAACTGCATGGTTCTGCCTAACTGTAGGTGACAAGGATATTTCAAAGTGCCCTCCAGCAGGTATACATTGCATACAGTCTCATCGCGATTGTTATAAAAGCTAGTGCCACTCCAGTCTGTACCAAGTAGGAAGCATGGAAACATTGATAGGAATGCAGGGGGTCCTCCCAAACATTCAACTCTTGTTACACTTTCTATTTCTTAGAGTAAGGATTGAATAACAGTTACAGTATTATGTCGCATTGCCCTGTCTCGATGTGCTACATTGCTGCATCCTGAGACATTTCTTCGCGGCACGAAGCAACGGGCAATGCGACGTGTTATGAACTTATCTATTGCTAACAATTGTCTGAAGCTACGTACTAGTTACACTATGTATCTAGTGCATGGAAAAAGACCTCTGTGGCTATACCCTAACCACAAAACTATAGCTACTACACTAGCCAATAGAGAACAGATTAATGACTTACAACACATTCTGTTCCCATCCTCTGGTTTTTACACTTTCTCTGCTTTATAATCGTTTATACACTGATATGGTGTCAGCCATGCCAGCTAAAACAACCTTCACCACATATACACTTTAGGATAATTATTGTTACAGAGTTGTTGACACCTCACCATCAGTATCTCTTTTGAGTGTGGTGTTCCTTCACTAACCCCTTGCTGCCTTTCCTGCACTTTTTTCATCATTACTCTATTTATTTTTTTTATAGTTGTTACTTCCTGATACATATTTCGGTGTATAAAAGTATACTGTGGGTGTTGTTAGTAGAGTGTCATAGGCACAGGTGCCAGCTCATCTCTTGCGTGTTGTGCAGTGCACCTTATAAGGTGTGTAAGGAATCCTGTAGGCATACTCGAATTACGTAGTGGCTTACGTCCGTACGAATTAAAGTAAGCATGCGCACTATGCCGTAAGGTCCATGCGCTTTATTCTGTGCTTGATGCAGGTATGCGACCAGCACGAACAGGCAAGAGTTCAGCCTTCCGGCCCAGTGTGTAATTAGCTAACTATGTCAATGAAAAGAGTATGTACAGCTCATTTGTTTACCTGGGTGTCTGCTATATAGTGAATCCGAGCCTCTATCATGCATTTGCGTGGACGACTCTATTTGTACGTAGGAAAGACAGAACAAAAATATTCACTACCTTAATTAGCTCGCGTTGGATGTGAAATGAAAATGTGCTTTCCTAAGCACACAAAAACAGCCACCCTGCAGGTAAAAGGTGTGAACAGGAGGACCTACCTTGCACGTATAGCTACACAAGGGAAAGGGCCTAGTGTATTGCAGGCAGCTTTTATTTGGAAGGACGTCCATAAGTGACATACACACACGCCGAGTTGTCGTTTTGAATGCTGTAGTAGGTATCCGTGGGTCAGTAAAATCTATACAGGCAAAGTTTGGTTTATATGCGGGTCTAGTATGACTATACAAGCTTTTCTCGTGTTAACTTAAAGCTACAAGACAGTCAATCAAAAAGCCCAATGCCTGTACACAGTCACTTATATGTATTAACATGTTTGTTTCCTATATTTTGTATACAGTTTCAAAGAGAAAGTGGCAATGCTGTTCCATACGTATTGTATGGAGGATCTGCAACAACCGACGGTCAAGTTGCGTATTTTGTATCATTTGATTCCACTCAAGTCTACCAATACGATTGGAGTATAGAAAAATGGGACACACTTCCGCCATTGCCATGTATGAACTCTGGGCTAGTGATCATTGATGGTGAACTATGTGCTGTGGGAGGATCTCATACCAACCAAGTATTCACACTCAGATGGACGAAATGGGTCGAGGAATACCCTCCAATGAACATTGCACGTTCATCCCCCGCTGTAGTTAGTACATCTAATGGCACCTGCCTCATTGTCATAGGAGGATTAGTGGATGATGGTTGTTGGACTCCCACAGTTGAACTATTTCAAGTAAATAGCCGAAAATGGTACAAGCTAACAGATCTACTGCAACCTCTCACTAGACCTTCAGTCACATTGTGTGGTGATAAACTACATGTAGTTGGTGATCATGCTAATGGATACTTCTTTTCTCTTCAATCTCTACCGTCCAGTGACGTACCACAGTTGACGCCACACCTCATATCATGGACATGTCTTCCTCCTTTACCAGTGAAAAGTTCAACCGCTGCAACTCTTTGTGGACAGCTCATAATCATTGGTGGGAGGAGTGACCGGTGGCCGCCAGTCAAATCAATTTACCAGCTGGTTGACGGACAATGGGTGGAGATTGGCTCCTTAGCTTGTTGTAGGTGTCGGTGTTTAGTGGCCAGTGCATCACCAGACAAGATCATGATCGTAGGAGGAAAAGGAGCACAAGACACGGTGGAAAAAATTGTTGAACTTGTCATTGGGAGAATGGAGCAAGCTAAGCTAGTTGTTCGTTTAGTGTAACCGGTACACAAACTCATTTATCTTCATTAAGTCTAATTGTAAACACATGTGCAAATAATATCATGAAATATTGTAAGAATCTCAGGAAATGACTATCATTATGTTCATTGAGTATCTTTTACAGCTACTTCACATATATTTCAATCAGCTCCAACGGAGTGTTTTCGTTGCCGGTACTTTCATCGCCGCATATCCTCACTTCAATGTCATTTGCAGATGGACGGTTCAGTACGGAATGAAACCATGGTCCTAAATGAGGAGCACAGCATGTGGAATTGCTGGGACACTGGGCACTACCATCCCAAAGTATATGGTCCGTGAAAAACATTAAATGATTCTGATTTTGCGGATTAGATGTGTCACAAAAGTATATAGTTTTTACCGACATTGAGATTTCTTCCTTATGTTGAAATATCAGATCAAGGTCACCTTCAAGCGTAAGACGTGTTAATTCATTAGCATCTTGGAGGTTGCTTACTTTAGTGCCTTTTACAAGAGCAAGCTTGATATAAGGCGTGTTCACCTCGGGAGATAGTTATACACAGTACACATGTGTACCGCAGGCACATTCGCAGATAATAATTGGCTGAATGTATGTGTCTGCTCTTAGAGGCAAGTTCAAGGGGGGGAGGGGGGGGGGATGGGAACGTCAGCCACTATTGCCGGGTTTCTGTGGATGGCGCCGGAATGTTGGCACCATCACAACAATGTAAAAGGGGTGGAGTAATCATTCAATTAGTATGGTTCTCATCCTAAAGCCAGGAATTACGGCAGAAAACTACTGCAGAGAGCGTTACCGTCTGCCCTTTTCAGTGTCTTCGGACCCCTCGAACACACCAGTCACCACAGTCACGAGTTCAAACGCAGTAAAGTGAGACCGTACAGTGATGGCTATGTTTATTCTACTATGACAATGATTCACGAGGCTGTAAAAACTTCTGCAGAGCAGACAATCCACCGCTTGCTGACAAGAAAAGCTGCACTGGGTAAACTGATTGTACTGCACCAAAACAGGACGTCACATTCCCACTGAGCAACAGAAGTACAGTGACCAGACGTTGTCTTCCCCCAAAACATCTGGTCCCACGACACTATATTCTTTCACTGTGACCTGGCACTCAATACGTGCATTGAAATCGCGCTGTGGTGGTTGGCAAAAGAGCATACGCTAGCTGGTCACCTAACGGAGAATTTCTGTAGCTGCCAGTGAGTTGCTGTGCATATGACTTCACAAACCACTTCATTAAGGGTGGTGACACTATAGGTTTAACCGGTTTCCGGGCGACCCTGAGCGTCAGCGGTGATGAATGCTGGCAAACAAGAGGAGAGACTGGACTCCAACGAAACATACGCACATATCCAGCAACCATATCTTCTTTCTCTGTACATCTCAAGCCTTCACTTGCTCTCGAAGTTGCTAAAAATACTTGCTACTTCTGCTCACCGTCTGTGCTACATACATAGTCCCCAGACACTCACATGCTCCCCGTGCGAAAGAGGATCTGGTACATATGTCTGCATGTGAGCTCAATGAGCCCAGTACTCTTATGTCACATGATGTATTTTTAAACTTAGCAATCTGATTGGGTGACCTGTTTTCCGAACATGCTGTCTCAGCAAACCAATAAACCAGACCCTCTTTTGCGCGGGAGCACGTGAGGGTCTGGGCACGGGACTACACCCTGTGCCACCAACCACACCGCCGCCATTATTCTGAACGTTAGAGATCATTTGTAGGGAGTTAGTAATCAGGGATAAGCTACAGTAGGTATACTTTCTTATAGGAGTATCTGCACAACATCATACTCCATGTACTCTAGCACTCACGCACACTTTACCTTGGCTACGGTGACCCAAATCTTCTACGACATCTGCTAAGGCTTTGTTTCCAATGGTGGTCGCCGCATTACTCAGCTCTCGATAGGTGGCTTTGTCTCCCTGATTCTCTTTCCACTTGAACAAAAATTTACGTTTTTGGTCGAGGTAGTCTGAAGGTGAATTCTTACGTATGACCACTTCTTCGGTTGAGCTCAATAGAGGAAGGCCTTCTCAGAGTGCCAGATGATCCCGAGCAACGACTTCTATATCATCATCGCTGATAATACGGTCTAAATCGCCAGTTTAATGATATGTGATGCATGATTGTTGCTTATTAGCCACTCCTTAAAGGTTCAGAGTTTGGCTTACAGCACTGAAACCTAATGACTGAATTGTAAGCCTTACAGCGGGTTCGAAGGAAGGGGAGAGGTTGTAGGAAGTATATATAAAGTTTATGCAACCTGTCAACATTCTCTGTTTCCTGATTAACATACAATATCTTCTGTCTTACATCGTTCTTTTTGTTCTTCTCTCAACTGTCCAGTAGTTGGTAGAGAAGGGCAACCCTTACTGGCTGATACTCTTCAAGCCCTCAAAGAAGCAGGAGGACCTCATATTGCCAGCCACATGGGATGGAGTAACACACATTGTGAGCTCTCTCTATCCCCATGCCCACCACGACCTTCTTGAGCATCTCGAGACACTCAAAAACACACATTTCAGGGAGTTTGAAAAACAAGCAGGTTTCGAGTTCTTGGAGTGCAGGAGAAATGAACAGGGAACTTTCCCTGACAAGCCGCCTTACTATAGCTACGAATTTTACTGCAGTCTCCCGCAGCCTCGAACTGCACTGCAAGTTAGACTCTTTCTCTACTGTGAGCTGAGGCTTCTGGAGATGTTCAGAGGTGATGCATATGCCTCTACACGCGACCCCGGGAGTGTGCACTGTTTGGAATACCTCTCCCCCAACTTCCAGCTGAGTGATTTGGGTCCAGACTTCCTGGGAGTACTGCCCATGACACGTGTCTCTATTCCAGACTAATCTTTGTGTTCTGCAGATATGTGTTGTTTGCAGTTTGTGACAAATTGGTCATCTTTACTAGCTATGCATAAGCAGGTAGTTCAAAATGTATATTGTGATACTAAGGTAGTAGCCATAGCGCTTTGGCCATCGACCACACACCCAGAGCAATGGGCGGGACCTTTATATAGGACATGAACATTTGTATACAGATATGTAGCTAACGGCAGCTGCTGTCTGTCTTAATGCTGTGTGCTGTGGTCTTTAGCCTAGAAGTGTCTAATCCATAAATTGCAGCCCTGAGCCCCCCAATAGGTTGACAAGCACTAGCTGCCAATTGCAAGAAGATTATAATATTATAGCTACACGTAACTATAGGAATATGTTTCATGGTTGGACTCCTTGTCCTCAAAGGAATTTGTGCCAGTTCCTCCTCCGATTGCATACTAGCATACATTAAGATCTCCCCAGCTGACACCTCCCCCATTAGGCTATTTGCTATAGGTATATAGGGGCCACCAATGTGGGGAACTAGTTGTATGGGCTACCTGTTGATGTTTGTGTAAAATGCTCAGCATGCATGAGTAGCTACACTCGACTACCATCATACAGCAGAGTCAATGGTCTGGCAACTCAGCCAACAATAATGCAATATTACAGGACACTATGTCAAGTTACAAACACAAATGACAGGAACACAGCACAATCAGCACAACAGAAGTATGCAGTGTATTATTACGACAAGAGGAACAAGAGGAATGGAAAACATGAATTAAAAAAACGGTCAGAATTGAAGTGCTGAAAGTACGAAGCATATTTTGAATACATCTCCAACCTCACTAACCTTTGACTGCCGTGCCGTAACCTAGATAATGAAGTAATGGAAATCACTAACACACCTTATAAGTTATTAAACACACACAAGGTATGCAGTGGAACTGCTATTTCAAAAGTCCAGAAGGCGAAGACGTCGCTCTGTCTTCCCGTATACTGCGCCCGAAAAATACACGCGTTGCTGCGCAGGTCCGCGTGGGAAAAGCGGCAAAGGTGCCGCCATCCCCACTCAAGCCGGGACCTACCAATCTGACGCATTTCTGGAGGCGATGCCATTGTAGAAAGCTAGTTCACGTTAAAGATACTTACGGTGCGGTCTCGCTGACTGTGCGTTCCTTTTCTATACCAAAGAGGGTGCTACGCAGACCTCATGCGCAATCTCACCCATTACCACCCATCCTATCGGTTGAAATCAATACACCAAGTTTGTAAAACAATGAGTTCTGCATCTGAACTTACGTAGAAACCGGTCGTGAAAGCATGACTTCCCCCTACCCAGGAAGCAAAATGCCACAGCCGACTTCTCCCTCGGTATGCTGAGGGATCTCACATGCAAATGCAGCCTGCCTGCCTTATCTCCCTGTCAAACATGCGCACCGTAGCTCGGAGAGCCTCTGGAAGACCGCAAAACCGAACCCCGGAGCCGGACACGCATCCGCGTGGGGCGCTCTTGCCATTAAAGTCCGCAATGCACAGCCGCAGAATAGCTGTATTGCTTCCTGCCTTGAGGTGTCTTTGTCATGCTTGTCAATAGCTTATAGCAGTCCTCTGCTGCTGGGGCGCTTTCCATTTGTTTGGGTTTCCGGCCGTGACCGTTTTTTTGGACTCGCCCGAGCTTCAGTCTGAATAATACTAGCAAGAGAAATTATTGGTTCATATAATTATATCTATCGTGGCAAACGGGCTTACCCCCACCACAGCCTCTTCCGCGCACACTCGCTAGAGTAATGTAACTTCTAAGGCTATGGCTTAGCTGTTTCTGAAGCGAGACCTGTCCTCATCCTTCGACGATCTCAATGACGTGCACTCTCGCGTCGGGGTCGCTCTTCGAGTCATATTGGGCGCCATCGATAAAAAAGGCCTAGGCCTATTCGACCACACCATACTAGGGCTATGCCAGAAGTATTAGTCTCGCACTGACGATATTAATATTAGTCCATTAGCGATATCTACGAACCCAAGGGTCTGTCAAGACGCTTTGCCTGAGATAGTATCTATACACTAATCAGCGAAATCAATGCGTAATTAATCAGTAGCCTCTTGTTCGCATATCAAAATGTCTTGCATTGCCCCACCCACCCAATGCCGAACTTTACCTAACAGCTACTTCCAATCGCCATAGCAGAGGTGGTTGAGTTTCCATTTGCTAGCAATTCGGAGCACAAGGTGTTTAATGGGCTGGATTAACTGGACCATTTCCTAATAAGGTGTGTTTCAAATGGAGGGTGCACTTACATTGCATATGTACTCGATTTCAATACTTAACTCGTGTGCCAGTGGCTGGCGCTAGCTACTCCATTGAAGTTGCAAGACAACGAATTCTAGAGCGTAAAGCTAGCAGAAATAGAGCTAACATGGGCAGGGAAAAGTAATGAGAAAAGTGTTACCAGTCCCAGTTCTGATCATGTGCATGGCCTGACCTTAGTTCATCTTCAAAGCAGTTAAAACACATAGTCCATCTAATCAGGATTCTGCTTTCTTCTTCTTGTAACACAGAGGGCACCCATCATTTGCACTGGCTGTATCTGTCTCTATGCCTCACCGGGTGGAGCTACGCTGTCTCCGGAAGGGTATGAGAGTTTCGGCCCGCCGCCCACACATAAGGACATACTCTCTGATGGCCGGGGGAAGTCGAGGGCTGATACAATCCATCTCAACACTAACCACTCGCATTCAGCCAACATTGCGAGGATCAAAAGTGAGCCCAGACCCTGTGTTGGCGACGGCTGCGAGTACAGACCAACCGACAAACTTTGATGTCCACGTACGGCGGAGTGTGAGATCGCCTCGTGTCACGCCAGTAGCTCCCAGCCGATGAAGTGAAGTGAATGTCGGAATTTGCTGCACGTCTCTTTGAAAGTCTGGACTGGTTTGAGAAAAAGTCAGAAATTTAGTATTTGCCGTCCCTCGTGTACTGACAACAGTTAAATCAATTGACGAGTCACGTGCGCTAGTCGGGTTGGAAACTCATCTCATTGCCCAGGAGCCTTTCCAGATGAAAACCATCCTTCTATACAATACACCTCCTAAAAACCATTACACGTATACTAAGTAGCACACAATATCTCCCATCACATTAACTCCACCTAACGTGCCTTGAATCAATCTACGAGTGCATGCAGCAAACTCCTGAGAGCCAATACGCATCTATTTGATCAGCCCCCTAGAATGCGCGTCAGAGCGAGCGCGCGGGTCCCGTCGCCGACAATGGCAGCCGGCCGACCACGCGCGCCGTAGCGTGCCTGCGGTGGCGTAAAGTAAAACTCCATCCTCGCCAGAGCAGATTAAGATTTTTTTTCTCTAACTCATTTGGTATATGATGGAAATGATTTCGCTGCCTGCTTCTATTGCTTTATTTTCAGTGGCTGGGGAAGAGTCCATTTTCCGCGAGCTATATTCAGGTCCGACCGAGCCAGCAGGAGGAGAAAATAGGTACGTGTCGTTATATCAAGAAGCGAAGGAAATTTGCAACTGCAATATTTAAATAAATCGTGTTGAAATTTCCACATTTGTTTGTTAAAGACACAACCTGCTCCTACACATTTCCTTTCTGCGCTGACTTACAAACTTTAATTTTATAACAGACATTTAATGATTAAAAATTCAAAGAAACTGGTATATAGTAATTTAAACATGAGCAATGCAAGAAGTTCTTTCCTACAGAGTAGATGACTATAAGAGAGACGATCCTATCTTACAGACCGCCATTTATAAACATAAGTAGTAACCATAACTCAATATTATTTTAATGAACTCCTGTAGGAAAATCACCCATGAACTGCTTCATTTGCAAGTCCGGAGAAAATGTATGTTTACCACATGTACAATACAGATCTCCTCAACAATAAAAAAAAAAAAACCACAACGAAGAGGGAGGAAAGAGAACGATTCTGTATTGTCATGGGAAACCAAAATTACCATTATTCTCCAGGACTTCAAAATAAAGCAGTTAGGGGTGGATTTCTACAGGTCATTAAAATAATATTTAGTTATGTATCTACTTAGTTATAAATGCAGTCTGACAAATGCCCCAATTCCTGTAGAAAGGAAAATCCATGCTCATGTAAAACTATAATACCCACGTTGAATAAAAAAAGCTTGAAGTCCACCGCAAGAAAGGAAATGTTAGAAGCAGGTGTGTCTTACAAACAAATGTGAATTTCAACAAAAATTATTAAAATAATTGCAGTTGCAAAATTCCTTCGCTTCTTAATAACGACACTTACCTCATTTCTCTCCGCTCGGACTCGGTCGACCCATAATAAGCTCCGCGAAAATGGCTTCCAGCGCAGCTGAACATAAAGCAATAGAAAGCATGCAGCGAATCATTGCCATCAATACAAATGGTTAGAAAAAAAAAAATCTCTGACCTGCGAGAGATGAGAGTTTAATCCATCATACGCCACCGCAGCAACGCTAACGGCGCGCGTGTCCGGCCGGCTAAGCCATCGCACGGACGACCGCGCGGATCTCGCGCACGCGCATTTCAGGGCATCAAATAAGATGCGATTGGTGATGGCAGGATGTTGCTGCATGCACTCGAGATTGAATGTCACAAGAGCATCTCTAGGTGAGTTAGAATGATGGGAGCAATATGTTCATTACGTATAGCCTGTAATGTTTTTTAGGAGCGTGTATTGTATAGAAGATCTGGCTTTCATCTCGGAAATGACTCCCTTGGCAATGAGAGAGTTCCAACTCACTACGCCCACGTGACCGTCACTGATACTGTCCTATCATACACCGAAGGAGGCAAATACATAACTTCTGAACGTTTACTCAACCCAATCAGACAGATTCCAAAAGGAGACATTGCAGCATGACATTCACTTCTCTCACGGCTGGGAGCTCCCTGGCCGTGACACGAGGTCGATCCACATCTCCCTCACTGCCCATCAAAGTTGTCAGTTATCTTATCGCCGTCGCAACAAGGGTCTGGGCTCCACATTCATCCTCTGCATATTTGAATGGACTGGGTGTTGAGATTGATGTATGAGCTCTACTCCCCGGCCATCAGAGAGATACAGGTCATGAAGCTGGAAGAGGAGGCGGGGCGGGCCAAACTCTACTACCTCCGAGACAAGCCTGCCAAGTACTCCACCGTGAGCGAAAGATGCAGCCAGTGCAAATGATGGAGTGCCCTCTGTGTACAAGAGAAAGAAAGGGAGACCTGCTTAGTTGACTGTGAATTAAGTTCCAGGCCACTGCACATGATCAGAGCTAGGCTGGTAACACTTTCATACTTTCTGTTCTGTATATATATATATAGCTCTTCTTCTGCTAGTTAGCTCTAGAAATTGTGTCTTGGCACTTCAAATGAGGCCATAGCGCCCAGCCTGCACACGTGTTATGTATTGGAATGCGAGTACGTAAATGCATATGCAATGTAAATGCCCCCTCCATTTGAAACACACCCCCTACTTGGAAATGTGTCACTTTTGTCAGTAATCACCTTTGTGCTGGAAATTAGCTTGAAATCAACCACTCTGACTATGGCGCATGGGAGTGGCTGTTACGTAAAGTGGGGCCTTGGGAATGGTTGGAGCAATTCAAGACATTTGGAGTCGAACAACCGGGGACATGAGCTATTAGCCATGAATCGCTGATTAGCTAGCTATAGATATGTACCCAGGAAAGCGCTAACAAATCTGGTTTCATAGATGTCGCTAGACTACATTCAGTGCGAACTAATAACTCCGGCATATGCATAGCTATGATGCTGGTCGAATTGTGCCATAATAGCTAGGCCTATTTTTTCATGGCGCCAATATAGCCTCGAGACGACTGACGCGAGAGTGCAACGTCATTGAGGAATCCAGTCGCGCGTAATGCTCGCAGGAGAGGCAGCGTCTCGCTCAAGACACAGCTAGCCCTAGCCTTGAAAGATCACATCTTCTAGCGAGTTTGCGCGAAGAGCTGTGTCGGGGGTAAGCCGTTGCCACGATAGCATAATATTATAGATAGTAACCATAAGTCATCGAGTAAACCGCATCGTATCTCTCTCCCAGAACTGAATCTCGCGCGTCCCAAAACCGGTCACGGCCGGGGCAACCCACACAAATGGAAACAGCAGCCAAGATGACTTAGCAACTAGCTACGACACGACATGACAGGATCAGCCTCAAGGGCAGAGAGCATACAGCTAGCTGACTGAGCGCATGTCGCAGAATGCGACTCTAATGCCAAGAGCCGCCGACGCATCGCGTGTCACGCTTCGCGGGTTCGAGGGTGCGGTCTTCGGGCTCTCCGACTACGAGTGCGCTGAGACAGGGAGAATAGAAATAGGCAAGTACTCGCAGGCTGTGGAGTCTCAGATCACCGAGGAGTGCTGTGCATTGCTTCCTGGTAGCCGGGGAATTCAGCATGAAAGACTACAAGTGCAAACCTCGGCGCGCGAAACTACGCATGCGCGGTAATGCTAATGGTGGGCTGGGCTTTGGCATCTGACACGGGCTACCCACGGTAGTAGATAGCACGCGGGAGTCGATACACGCCCTTCGCTGTGGCCTCCAAGGTACACAGAGCAAGCGGGATCAGGTCGAGGTGAACCGCGTTGATCGCGCCTAATATACGCATGCGTACCGCTTATTGATGGGTTGGGCCACGCAACGCGGTCCGCGACCGTGCCAGTTTGTCGCTCTTGAACGCAGTCGTTTCAAGAAAATCGCCTTTTCATTTTTCTGGCTCGCGTAGTTCTGAAGCCGCTGGTATCACTAATGGGCCGCCTCGTAGCCTGTAGTACCAGAATAAGCGGTCGACACACACAAACACAGACAGACAAAACCAACTTCGCTTGCGCATGCGCGCCGAGGAGGGTTATAACACGTATATAACCGTTCCTACGTAATGTAGCAAAGGAGTTCAGTGCATGAACCTCATTGTTTACAAACTTGGCTATGAGACCATACGGATGAGGTTAACATTGTTAATTTTCCATATCTTTCTTCTAACATTCCATTTGGACCTGCATATGGAGTTTCCCAGCTTGTACGTATAAGTAGAATATGCAGTAACTATACTCATTTTGCGGTTACTCAAAGACTTGTTCGCCAAGGATTCTGGTACTCAACACTGTGTGTAGTTTTTCGACGGTTTGCGAAGAAACATGTGTGGTTTGAGGACAAATATGGTTGTAGCTACGCAGACATATTGCAGATGTGTATGTTTACCAGCAATGATCCGTTCAGAGTCGCCACCGTCTCACGCAGATCTATTAAACGATACCGTTTTTAAATTTTTACAAAGGTGCCGACAACTGTGCACTAAATAGAATCATTGCAAAGCCGCTCTGGTGCTTGAGCCTGGTCTGCACGTAAGTTTTATTCTCTGTTTCCAGATTTTATATATTTCTATTTTGTCTATTTTTCTACAGACTTATTATGTTTTTACTGCCTCTTTCGTTTTACTTTATTAAGATCAGTTCTTTCTATTTTTATACACAAATATTAATTTATTTTTTTTCTACTGCCTCTGTATAGTAACTGTCATTGTGATTGTTGTATTCGGTTTGGACACTAGGTGTGTGTGGGGAGAGTTGGCATGCCAATTAAAAGGCTCTTTAACCACTGCCCCAGTCTCAAGGCTGGGCACCCTGTTGTCCTACCGTGTTGTTTGTGTCTGTGTATGGGTGGGGATGGGGGGGTGGAGGGTGACTTCTGGTTTTCTTTCTTTCTTTTCTATTCTCCGTGGCTAGTATGCTATAAATATACTTTTCATGAGTGCCTTTTACATAGCTCAGCTTCCAGCCACTGACCAGAAGATGCTCTTTAAACAGTTCGAATCAATGCCTGTTGTGTGGGCAGGTCTGACTAAAATGGAGAACATAGGATGGGACATGGCCTATGTTAAAAGAGTAACACCATTCTTCCGTCAGTGTGTATATGAGGCACAAGATACAGACAGAGTAAAAGCTCTTTTTTCTTCACTCGATATTCACTTCAACCCACCAGAAAGTGTAACAAACTATGATGTTTTGTTCTTAGCTACTGCATATCAGGATTTAGTAACACGTGGAATTTGCATATTCGGGTATGCATGATGAAGATCTTAAAATGAATGTGTCATGGTGAACTGAGTTCAATATGAGGTGGGACTATTGAGTGTTTAGGCTTTGTCACTTGTCCTGAATCTCAATAACAAAAACTACTTACTACCTTGCACGTGATATCCTAAGGAACATAAAAACCTGATCG